CTATCATTCCTGAACCAACACCAACACCAAAACCAAAATCATCAGCTTTTATTCCTTATTTTGATAATCCAAAAGTTGTCATCCCATCCATTCGTAGAATCAAACCGTTCTTTCGCATTATACCTGCTCAGAAGAAACCAACCTATCCTAGCCCTCTGATCATCATTCCATAATTTACCATTCCACCTCCATCTATTCAACCCAAGCCTTTCACTTTGGAAACCCTTCTTAAACCAAAAACTAGGCTAAATGTTGATAATTTATTTGCAACTTTTATGAAAGAAATAAAGATGAATCTAGGATCTGTGAAGATAAGATGCTTGTCAACCATGGATGCAAATGAATCGGATGCTATATGGAATAGCTTCATTACCATATTCAATATTGTTGCCTCAAATCTGAAGAATGTCTGTTCTGATGATGCAAAACTCAGATTTGTTGAGACTGCCAGAAGCATGATATGGAATATGAAAAGATCTGCACCTTTGCTTCTTGAAGATGTACCTTCATCTTCTGGAGTATCTGCTACAGAAGTTTTTGCTGAATCTGCTTCTGAAGAAAATCCACTGGCTATGACAATTGTGGAAAATCCCTCTGGATCTGTTGTTCCTGACTCTGCATCCCCCATGGAAATTGACTCTGCTTCTATTCCTGCACAAGAATTTGCTCCATCTACCTCTACTGAGATCAAGAAAGAGAATTCAGATTTGGAAGATAAGATTGCAGTTTTGGAAGCTGGACAATCTGAGATCAAGTCATGGATGGCCAAGCAAGATCAGAAGACTGAGAACATGGCACAATGGATGTCTAAGCAAGATCAGAAGAATGAAAACATGGCACAATGGATGACTAAGCAAGAAGCATCTTCATCTGGGATCACTCAACTTCTAAAGATGATTCTTTCCAAGCAAACCTAATTTTATGTTTTTCTGTATCTGATGTTTGTGCACATGTACTTGAATTTTTATCTGATGATTTGTCTGTTTTTTATCTGAATGAATGAATGACTCTGCTGTTTTCTCTACATGAATGTAGCTTTTCTGTATTTCCTTTTATTTGTCTTTAAAAGTTTTACTTTTTGATTATGACAAAAAGGGGGAGAAAATGGATCTGACTGTTCAAATAAACTCTACCTAAATGAAATTCAAACATATCATTTATAACTAACATGAATTCTTAGTATTTCAGAACATTTGAAAAATATGACAATTTCTTTAAAGTAACTCTGAGATCCCCAGATCAAGTTTAACCAATCAGGCTCTGATTCTGAAACATTCATCTAAGTCAAGATCTAATCTTTTTTAGAACAATCAGGCTCTGATTTTGAAAAGAATACTCATGCAAAAAGGGAAGTTTCTATTCCTTCTAAGTATTCAATTCAGGGGGAGATTCATTATCTCAGGGGGAGTTATAATTATATTTTTATTGAACAAAATTTCCTATGTTTTTGTCATCATAAAAAAGGGGGAGATTGTTAGAACACATATTGGTTCTTAATTATATCTCTATGTTTTGATGATAACTCTTACGAAATTTTGTATTAAGAAATTATATACTCTAAAATTTGTTCAAGTATGTTTGCTGCAGATATTAAAGTGAATATCATTCTGAAAGCAAATTAGATCTGAACATGGAATTATTCAAGGCTCTGAAGCGTCAAAAATATCTCTTAGAAGATTCTGAACGCTACCTACAGAAGATTCTGAGCGTTGCCTACAGAAGGATCTGAAGCAGAAGCTACAGAAGCATCTGAAGCATTGAAGAATTTGTATGAAGAGTTTCTAGCTTAGTTTATTTCAGAAGACTCTGATAGTACTACGCTGCCTGTATTGAGGATCTGATTCCAAACTCTGCTCTGAATTATTACACGCTGAAAGCACACATGCTGCCATGCTCTGATTCAGCAAACTCTGATGAACATCAAAGGCTCTGATCATTCAAAGCTCTGATGTTATCTGCTGAAGTATTAGAAACTTGTTGAAGAAGAATTCAAAGTTATGTCTGTTGGTTTGGCCAAACGACTCTTTCCTCATTTATGCTAGACACTAGAACACAGACAAAAAGGATTTCTCTATGCATTCTAATTCTAGAAAAGGTCAAGTGATGTGAAGACAAAAAGACTACAGCCTTTTTCAGTACACAACCTTCAACGTGAAAACAACTTGGACTTCTGTGCCTATAAAAGTAAGACTCCATCACTCTTCTTCAATTGACGAAATATTGAAAGAATTCAAAGAAAAGCTCTCATACAATTTACACTCTTTGCTGAATTTATTTCATAGTTCTTAAAACTTAAGTGTAAAATCACAGTTGTGATATAGCTTACTTAGAAGCATTTAAACACTTGTTTTAATTTTACATTTGATTGTAAAAGTCCTTAAGAAGATCCAGTTGTGATCAGTTGTTCTTGAGAAGACTAAGAACAGATGTTCTTAGTGCTTGCTATTGTAATCAGTTTGATTAATAGTGGATTAAGTCCTTGTTGAGAAAGACAAATCACTCTTGATATGGTGGACTGGAGTAGTTGAGTTCAACGAACCAGGATAAAAATCCTTGAGTTTTTATTGCCATAATATTTTCTATATACTTATTCAACCCCCCCCCCCCCCCTCTTTCTAAGTATTTTCTCACCTTCAAACCCAACTGGTAACGTCGAGGCTATTGAACAACCACACGTATCGGGCGTCGATATAAGACCTGACTTGTTCGCAAAAAGAGTACATGCTACTAAATGTATCATGTACACCCTAGCGGCAATCTCATACCTCTGTGCCGCAACAAGCTCCTCGTACCTATCCCGAAGCCAAGACATGTAAAAGTGACCAACCCTGTTGAAGTCAAACTCCTTCAACTCGACCTTCTCAGAAACTCACAAATCTCCTACAGCAGTCAAACATGCAGGCGACAGGCTAATAAAAAAAGTCGTCTAGAATCTGTCGGCAATGGGAAGATGGAACAATGAGGAGACATCATTCAAATTGATAGTCATCTCCTCAAACGGAAGATGAAATGAAGATGTCTCCTTGTGCCATCTCTCAACAAAAGCAGTAAGTAGTGGAGCGTCGAGCATAGTGAGTGAGCAGTGGGCAAAATCAAGAGCTCAAAATCACGTGCAATGCATATGACCTCCTTAGGCATCAGAATCTTCAGAAAGCCCTTCAGCTTCAACTCGTGCGATGTCATCTTCAGTGGGAAACGGTCTTGTAACAAAGAAATTTAAAAAAATTAGCAGTTAGCTTTCATGGCACAATAATAAATAAATTAAAGTTAAACATAAAATATATATACCTCTTCCTGCCATAGTCGATATGCCACATGGTCAGCATACTCGATCAGCACGGTCGATCAATGGATCCTCCCGGAAATCCTCCACCAGTGTGCACAGACGGCTCAATCGAAGAAGTCGTAACCTCTATGTCAGTAGTAGCAGATGAGACTAGATCAACAACATCGACATCTGGTTGGATGACCGAATCAGGAACAACGACATTTGGCTGGACCACCTCATCAGCAACCATCTCATCAGCAATATGTGTCACATTCTCGACCGCTGAGTCATGAACAACCTCAGCATCATCTATGGGTTGTTCAACTAATCTAACCGGTCGACGTCGGGTGCTACGGGATTCGTGGAACTGCATCTGCTCAGCCAACCGTTTCCGATGTGAACCAATTAGAACCACTCGTCCAGCCCGTATCTGGAAAGACTCGACCTCAACAACCCTAGCTAGCATGCCGCTCTATCTGTCGCTTTGGCTGCAATATTGTCGTCTATGTCTTTGTATTTTACTGCAAAAAAAATGAAGAAAAATAAATTAAAAAGATTAATAACTACAAAAGATTTCACTAAATTTAAAATTTTCCTACTTTTTTTGAAATTTCTAAAATTTTCGATAAAAAACAATGTTTTTATAACTACTAAAAATTTTGAAATTTCCAAAAATTTACGGGTCATTTTATATCGCAAATTGTGAAATTTCCAGAATAAATAATTTCACTATTGCCAAAAAAATTTAAATTTACAATATAAAATCACGCTAATTTCATAATTTTCGATAAAAAAACATATTGCTTTTAATTTAAAATGTCTAGTATCGCCCCGGAAAATTCAAAAATCGCGCAGCAGATAGGTGAATTTCGAAAAATGAGTCAAACTGTTGTAGGACGGTATTGTCTATCATCCAAAATGAGAGATGGCATATTAAATTCTCAAAATCCTCTCATTCCCTTTCTTTCAAACTCAAACTCATTCAAAAAGAACATTAAAATAGGCAGAGGTGGTTTCTATCCTTCGGCTTTGGAATTTAACTTGGGAGGAACTGTTCTCATCCTGAAATCAATTTTGAGTTGTAGAACCTAATGAGATTTAACTTCGATATCATATCAACATACTCTCTCATGTTGGATATCAAACATAAGAGGATCCAAATCCCTTCATTAACATCTTTCATTAACCCTGTTTCTTATTTTGCTTAACTAAAGAGTGCCCTTAAACTTTCAGAGTGATGAGACATTCTAGAAAGAAAACAATGGAGGGGGAAAATACTTTGGCTGGTTATGAATTTTGTTTGACAAAAAAACTCATTTTTCGGGGACAACTTAAATGTACCTGGCATGTTTTTTAATAACTAATATGAGCAACCACAACCTGCTCCAAACAGTTCCAGCAATTAAACAAAAGTTTAATACATTTAAACGCATTGGACTTAACCAGGAGCTTCATCTTCTGCAAGAGCTCAGCAAGATGAATCATTTGAAAAGAGAGATATTCAAAAGAGATCAAGCAAGAGTTTGTTTGAACTCCTCAGGACGAGGGTGCATACTGGAATTGAATCAGCGTGCCTGAAGTTCAAATCAATAGCATACGGTCGTCAACTAATGCCAACACAGATTTTCCATCAAATCAAGGAGCAGAGGCAAATTCTGAACAGGACAACCGTTTATGCAGGGAGGAATTCATGGCGGATGCACTCTTAGGCCAAATAAGCGAATTGATCTTCTCAAGCATCCTTAGGAGAGGTATCTCTCGCGCCATTGTTTTCTTCCTCTTCGTCATCATCATCATTATCGTAGTCAGTGGAAGCAGGTTGTCCATTTAGATCCACATTAATACCATTCAACTTTCTCACAAACTGTCCCCTAACACGAGGCCGCCTTTCTGCAAGTTGTTTTCGATTGACATACCTAATTTTCTTATCAAAGCATCGCTCTTTTCTTTTCTGTCTAAACTTCATCAATGCTGCTTCTCTCCTATCAACTTTGCTCAACTTTGCTTCACATGAAGTTGAACTTCCTAATGATGGCCATGAAGGAGTTGTAGAAACCTGACCAGTTTGTAAGCAAATACTCATTGGAAAATACGGGTAGGGTGCCATCCCAGTTGCATGAGGTGGACATTGGGGAAGATGACTGTACTGGGCAATCATAGATGAACTAGCATGATTATGAAGATCCTGGATATTATTTTGATACAATTGTGCTGATGATGGCATCATAACATGATTAACAACTCCTGGTATATAATACTGATAAGCATGTTGAGAAGGCATTCCCGGTGGGTTGAGCTCAGAGCCATAATTACCACTTCTTGGATGAACCACCCCCCGAGGATGTTCTTCCTTGTAATGATCATTTTGTTGTGAAACCTCCATTGATACCGGGGTACACGATCTCTCAATAGAGAAAGAATCAGGTATACTATTACTTCTGGGTAAGTTGTCCTGGGAACAGCTTTCAATCATTTCTCCGATTTCATGTCTTTGAAGGTCATTGCCCCCTTGTTGAGAATACGCTTGATTCATATCTTCTACTCCTTGTGAAGTACTATTATCTTCGACATGCACAATCTCTTCAAAGTTGTTCTTTGTTGCTGTTGCTTTGACATAAGTGAAAAAGGCTGATGACTCTCCAATTCTTAGTTCACTCTTCTTTGGACCTGAAGAATAATGTCCAACAAATTTTTTTATGCAATCAGAGACAAAATAATGAAAATGGGTTCTCACTTCTCACATCAGTAAAATCGTATTCAACTTAAGGAACTCAAATACCCCTTCTAGACTGAAATCGTTTTCATAGTTATAAAAGTGAAGCCATAGAAGGAAAAATAAGATGTACAAACTACCATCAAAGCCACCATCCGTAACTCTGTTGCATGGCGGATGCTGTCCAGATGAACCTGTACAATAAGCAACACCAGAGCATGAAGAGATATACTTATTTAATTTTCTTGAAATTGAAGAAAAGATATAACAGAGCCAAATTGGCTTAGCAGAAGGAGAGGAAGGATTGACAAAAACCGAAGTTACTAATAATTTTTCATATTATCATCTATCATACAAGTTGTCCATAGGGGATGATTAGCTTGGCACTACATTGTATACTTCAAGCATACCTGTTCTTCGATCACTAATTCCGGGTACATCGGGCTGATATTCTGATAGATTAGCATATGAAAGTTCCTCAATAACAGCAACAGTGGTGGCGATGCTAGCCTGGAGAAGTATAAGACAACATAAGTTGTAAGGCATCATCTCGATCATACCATCATAATTGCTATCTCTATTTGGAAAGCAATAAATGAAAGTATGAACCATGCCAATCTCAAAGTCTACGCACTAAAAGATTGAATCATTTGCAGAGCAAGTTTTAACTTGATTTAAAAAAACACCACAATATCTTCATATAATTAATTAAATTTCAAGGCACCCTGTGGTGCACGACCTGGTATATTTTTTATCATGTTGAACCTATTACTTTCAATTTTTTATTACTTAATAGGTACTGTTTTTTTAACGCTCACCTCGTGTTCTTGTTGGATTGAAATTCCAGGCTCTGGGTTAGTGCTTCTTTTGGACCTCTCATCTGTGTCATCAGAGAACAAGGTGGTACTATTTGTATTGGCATCACTTGGGTCTGATGCTACCAGATCAAAATCATAATTCACGATGTTGTTCTCTATAAGACCAAGCTGTCAAAATAGATGTAAAAAAAAAAAAGAAACCCAATTCAATATTCGTCTTACAGTATATGAGCTATAGATTGGAAATTTGAAGAAAAATGTAATGCGGATGTGCGACGGAAATACACCAAATGCACATGTAACATAAGATTAAAAGGGGCAACGTATATAACAAACCAAAAATTCAGACTGGAAAAGCCACAATATGGAGAAATGCAATAGCATGTGCACAGTAAATAATCAAACTAGAGTAAAGGAGAGAAACTACCCCAACATTTTATATTTCATTTATGGTTAGTACATGTGATATTGTGTTTGTGTATGAAATATGCTTTTAATTTAATATGGATGGATTCCTTCCTATTTTCCATGTTCTTCACATCTATAGAAGCCATGTAACATCTTTTCATAATAAGTGAAACTACTAATCAATGTCTGTTAGATGCAATGATTGTAAAGTCTATACTTTCATAAACACTTCGACTGAATTTTGATTTAATTTAACTAAACCTAACAGTGTAGCCAACAACTGATTTACTAATATTGTCAACATGCAATAAATAGTATGGCTTCTTTTATAATTTAATACGAATGCTTTTAGAAAATGTCTTTAACTTTTGGCCCTAACATTGTTCAAAAAAGTTGTTTGGCATGGTTCCAGCCAAGCACACAAAAGAAGGCAGCCTGACAGATGAAGTGGCTCCTACAGAAACTTCAGTACCACCGAGGCTCCCGACAGAAGATTTACCAAACAGGTTTGACTGTGTTTTGAGCTACCAAAAAGCTACTAGTTGCAACTAGTAAGAACCGAATAGCACAACCAGAAATTTGAAAAGATGGCTAGTGAATTGATTCAAAGAAAATTTCAAAACAATCTATAAATCATTTTACATATATTATAACTTTATGTAATCTGATGCAATAATTGAAGATTAATCGTGTATATTTTACATTCATGATAGTTTATGTGTTAAGTCCACAGGTAAAGTTTAAAAACAGATGGAAAAGCAAAAATAGTATGAAAGTGGCCGACATGCATAAATATGAATGAACTAGGGAAATACATACATACCTTGCGTCTCCTTCTCCACATGTGCGTCCACAAATTTAATAGCTCATTAGTACGTAAAGGCTTTACTAGATAGTCTGCTGCTCCAAGCCTCAAGCACTTTACAACAATTGATACCTCATCTTGTGCAGACATCACTAAACCAAATATAAAAATAATAAAATAACATTGACAAGGAACATAATATACTTATTAGTCTTACAGGCTTCTTATGAAAATAAAGAACCAAAACTTACTTATAATAGGGATTCGGCGCAATTCTTTATCCCGTGCTATGTACTTCAACATCTTCATGCCCTTTTTTATTGGAAGGTCGACTTCGGCTAGAATGATGTCTATATATTGCCCTTCTGCATTCAATGCATCAATCACTTGCCTTGCTGATTTTACAGACGTAACTGTGAAGCATGACAAATTCATAGTTTAGATATCTTAGAGAATATTTGAGGAATCGTAGAAGCATTAAATCATACAATTCCATCCACAGCATGGAAAAGAAGCACTTAGTGAAATCATTACTTTTACATGTAAATGTGTTTTCATTCATGGAAGTTAAAAAGGAAGGGAGATAAAACTCCACAGGGGAAAATAATAAACAAGACCACAAGTACATACTTCTGGGCTCTGATTCTTAAATATAAAATTGAACCTCAAATTCATTAACACCTGAGGAAAATTCACACTAGTCGTATTTCTATATATTGAAATAAGGATGTCCCTTGCTTTTGTTAAGTTAATTAGTTAAACCTAGCTTATGGAAGTTAAATACTCCTCTTGGAATAATGTTTTATTAAGTGCAACAAATGTAAAGAAGAAAAAATAATTGATAATTTGAACCAGCCAACGAGCACAATACTCGGACATAAAACACAATTCGAGTTTCAAAAACAAAATTAAGTAAACAATGCTATCTATAGATAAACAACTTAATTATGCGCCTATCATAAAAGAACTTAGCATAATCTATTTGTATAACAAAACATAAAACAAAGTCAAACTATTTTCATATAAACTATAAGTTGTTTTCATAAGATATCCTGAAGAGCTTATAGAAATAAAATGAAAACAACTTAAGGGCATGTCGTAAGTTGTCATAAGTGATCATGTGCTCACATAAGTTAATTGAACCAAACTCTATCTCTATGACATGACATCAATTTAGCTAAACAACAGCAACAACAACCGAGCCCTATCCCACTAAGTGGGGTCGCTACATGGATCAACTTCCGGCATAATGTTCGAGGACCATGCTTATATCCAAATCATTAATCTCGAGATCTTTCTTAATAACTTCTCTTAAAGTTTTTCTAAATCTTTGCTAGATGAAATTAAAATTTGACATACAAAATAACAATATCCTTTCATGTCTTTGCCATCCAATAAGAGCTATACTCTAAAGAATCCATAAAATCCAAGCTCAACTTCACCTTAATAACAAAGCAAATCATAATTTAATCTTTATGACACAAAACATGAGCAAACAAAAATCGATCAAGTGTTACAAGTTATTATTCCTATTAGACTAAAAATCACAGAAAAAGCTAGCCAAAAATAGAAGGGAAAAATTTCATAATTCCATACCTTGATAAGAGCAATTCAAAAGAAGAGTAAAAACCTCTTCAGAACTCTTGGAATCGTTATCACAAAGCAAAATCCTAACTTTACTCCTGTCAATGAATCCATCACCGTTTTTGCTATTATTTCCACCACAATTACTCTCGTTGCTGTTCAAATCAATAAGTTTCTGTTCCTCAGTCTCCATCTCAAACCCTTTGTCCTAAACTACACACAACACATCAAATACTATAACAACCTAACCTCCATCCAAAATCCAAAATTTCACCCAAATCCCTAATTAATTAGATGTATAAGCTTCAAAAGCTATAATCATCATCATCGAATTTATCAAAAAAAAATGGAAAATCAAAGTGGAGTTGGTAAAATCTAACGGCTAAGAAAGAGATGGAGGTGGATCATGAAAATGGAGTTTGAGGGTTGAAAAAATTGGAACGGATGGTGGTGTTGGGGACTAACATGCGCAGAAAAAGGAAGAAAGTGGGAGAAGATGGAGGCGTAAGATAGCAAGAGGAAAATGACGTGGAAAGAAAGAGAGAAAAAGTGAAGAAAAAGAAAGAAAAAAAGAGAAATAGATATTTAGTTGAGTGGGTATGGGTTAGTTAGTGTGGATATTTTGTTATTGATAGATAGGTGGCCACGTCACTTGAAGTTGAAGAGATCTTATTTACACATTCTATCGAGTGGAGCCACTAGTCTCTTTAACCAAAATATCACAAAATATCTAGGAGGGACATGGATTGTCGGAATTAGAAAACATTCATAGCCGTTCCGTTCAGTTAAAATGATCTTTATCGTTCATGTTAAATTAGGCTACTCACATCATAATTTCTTACTATTCAAATTTTATGCATAAAGGATAGCAATTATTTTTACTTTTTTACATCCTACCTTAGAAAAAGTGAGCATTTTTATCAAGGTTAGTAATAAGAGTATATTTATGATGGTGAATAATAAATAATTCAAATTAAATTGAAACAATTAAGTTAAATTATCATTTATTTAAAATCTTTAGTTGATCTAATTTAATTTTATTTTAATAGTGTTTGTTTATAAATAATTCAAACAGGACCCACATATTTACATTTATTTGTTTATAATTAATTTTAATTTTAATGTAACATTGATTTTAATTCAAATTTAATATTAATTTAATTATTATAATTAAAATATATAAAAATATTAATTATCAGAGTTGGACAAGAATAATTTTATTAATATTATAAAATTCAAATGATACAAAATAATACATAAAATTATATTTTAATTAAAATTTAAAATAAGATAAAGAATAATTTTATTCTATGAAGTGGAGCCACGGTTTCTTCAACCAAAACATCCTAAAATATCTAGGAGAGATATAAGTTGTCGAAATTAAAAATCATTCAGTTTGGTCCAATTCAATTCAAGTCATCTTTATCAAATTTAAGTTACTCGCATCATTTATTCATTAAATTGATTTCTTACTCTTCAAAGTAATTGAAAATATTTATATTTAATGGATAGGTGAATAAGAATAAATTAGGAAAAAATTATTTAAATTAGTTTATCAAAATAAACTATAATTAAATTTTTAAAAAAGTTATAAGCTTGTAAAAAATAAAAATTATTAAATTTGTCTTTTTTTTAATAGTATACAAGGAGGGCTAAAGGCCCGGACAAAAAAAAACTAGGCTACACACCTAACAGCTATACTAGACCAATCTGAATTAAAGAAATTTCTTAATCTTAATGAACAAGACCATTATGAATTAAAGAAATTTCTTAATCCTAATGAACAAGAATCTAATCAAACACAATCACTATTACTGTTCAGAGGCAACTTAGTTAATGAATCGACACACTGATTAGCCTATTCAAAAATATATTTGAATTGAACTTCTTCGAATAGGTGAAGACGTCGGAGAATATGACTTGTCAAAGAAGCTCATTGGTGTTGAAGCATTAGCTTGTTAAGGAGAGCAGAGACAACAGTAGAGTTATCTATTTGAATCAATTATTTCTTAAAGTCTCTCTTCCATGCAAGGTTTAATCCTATAAGCACACCCCAAAATTCAGCAAGAGTATTATTACAAATTCCAATGTGTTTGTGAAATCCTCCTAACCAATTTTCGTGGCTATCACGGGAGATCCCACCACACTTGAAAACATAACCATTAAGAATAGTGCCATCGGTGCTAAGGCAAACCCAACCCAACTGAGGAGGGCACCAGAAAGTGATCTTCTGGGTCATAGAAACAGGTTACAATCTGATATAATATCCTTTGTTAAAGCGATAAATCGAAACATCATTGCGCACTTCATACACCAGATTAATAGGTAATACGTATTGCAGATCATGGAGAATTTTATTCCTCTAATACCATAAGCGATGACATCCAAACGTGTACGGAGCAGGCCAATTATCCACCGCCTCAAACATATTTTGAGAGAGATTACTGTAGAAGCAAGCTTAAAGGCCTTTAATGTTTTGATGAGGACAACTAGAATAAGCTTTGTACGCAAGATATTCTACGCAAAAAGTAAGAGAATCAAACAATCAAATAAGGACATCAAAGATCAAGATAGTACTCTCGCTTTTGTCTACTATGGATCAAAGCTTCCATTACAAACTTCAAGTGAAGATGATGTTCAAAACAACGGTATAACAAATAGTACTTGAAAATCTATACAAGTGTTCATAAAATCACTTTTCACTTCACTAATACCACTAACACTTTTAAAACTATTTTAAAATACTCATTCTTATTAAAATTAATTATTTTCTGAAAAACCTTAAGTGTTAATCGATTAACACATTGGTTAATTGATTAACACACTTCAAAATTAATTATTTTGTGATTTTATTACAGTGTTAACCGATTAACCTATATGGTTAACCGATTAACATGTGTAAAATTTAAATATTTTTGAACGTTGTAAGGTGTTAACCGATTAACCTATTTGGTTAACCGATTAACACTGAACTAGCAAGCAAAAATAGCAGCTTTTCATGAAAATGTACATTGGTTACCATTTTTAATTCTGGTTGTTTTTGCTGCACCAAAATCACACCCTTTTGAAAAGGTTTTTGATCAGTATAAATTGCTATCATTTTCAAAATTCCAGTTCACCTTCAAGAAACAAAATCACTCAAATTACTCATTTTCTTCAATCTTCAAATTTTCATTTTAAGTGTTCAAAACCATTTTTGAAAGAAGCCTTTGAATAAAACTTTCACACTATCACAACTTCCTTTCACAAAACACTTGTATATTTGTTTGAGTAACATTTATTTCAAGAAGAAGATCAATCGTGAAGATTGATAACAACATTCTATCAAATATTTTAAACTTATCTCAAAGATCATTTTTTGTATTACCATCAATCCAGTCAAGTAAGGAACAAGAGAAAAAAGTGATCCTTAACATCATGGCTCACCACTTGAGACCAAAAAGCTTTAGGAAAAGTACAATCTCAAAGAGAGTGCAGAATAGAATGAGGAAGTGTACCACTGATGTCACAAATGTTATTACGCCGTTGGAGACGATTAAGAAAATCATTAGTAATAAACCCTTTATGACTCATCTTCCAGATAAAGGTACGAACCCTTTCCGGCACTTGTAAATGCCAAATTTTTCGCCATCTGAAAAGGGCTTCATCATTCAAAGTGTGAAACAGAATGCCATACATATTAGAAATGGAGAACCTTCATGCATGGGATTCACTCCAAAGGCACGTGTTTGGAACTGTAGCAGCCAAAGTAGGAGGAGGAATCACATTGATTCTGTCTAAGACTGGCTGGGAGAAGAGAGTGTGCAGTAAAGGCCAATTCTAATTACCTGCACTGTTCAGAAGGTCAAAAACTTACTGCAAAAGCAAGTTGCGATTGATCGTCTGACGAACATGATTTTTGAGATGCAACCCTGGCGCAACCTAAGCCTCTTTTCAGATATTAAGGTTAGCTTCATTACCTACTTTCCAATAGGCCAACTCATCAAGTTTATGGCGAAGCTCCACTATCGAATTCCTAATACAGGAATTAGAAGGTTTAGCAATTAAATCACCAGATTTGAGATGTCTCGCGACATATTTACTTTTCAGCAAACGACTCCAGAGAAGATGATCCTGAGATTTTAGTTTCCAACCTAGTTTGGCCATACAAGATTTATTCATAAAGTTTAAATTCCTAAGGCCAAAACCATCAACTTTCTTGTCTTTGTTAATAATACTCCAACAGATTGAATGCGTCTGCTTCTTATCATTGGTGTCACCCCAAATAAAAGACCGTTGGCACTGATGGATTTTGTTAACATAAGCTTTTGGAAGCGGAACATACATCATAGTATATGTGGGGAGAGCCTCAATAATTGCCTTAGCCAAAGTGACTCGACCAGCAAAGGAAAGCTGACTACATTTCCAGTGCACAAGCTTGGTTTGAACTTTCTCAATAAGGTACCAAAAGTCTTTAAATTTAGGACTCTTTCCAAATAAAGGAACTCTTAAATAGGTGCCAAGGGAGGTGGTCTCCCTAAATCCATACTTGGCTATGATAAATTTTCTAGTAGCAATCAGAGTATTCCTTGAAAACATAATGTTGCACTTGCCATATTTATATGATGGCCCGAAGCACTGCAGAATAAAGAAAGGATATCCATAACCACATTTATTTGATTGTCTGTAGCGATACCAAAGAAGAATAAGGTCGTCGGCAAACATGAGATGGGACACCTTAGGGCCATCTCTTCCAATCTTCAAGCATTGCCATTGATTGTTTTCCACTGCATCATGTATCATGTGGGATAGTTTGTCCATACAAAGGAAAAAAAGGGATATAGGATCACCTTGACGTAAACCTTTCTTAGCTTCAAATAAATCTCAGTTATTGCCTTTCCAAAGAACCTGAAGTTGCACAAAAGTGACAACATGCATAATCAGATCGGTAAGATTATCATGAATCACAACTTCATTAAGAATACATTCAATGAACTTCCAACTCATATTATCATACGACTTGGCTAGGTAAATTTTGATGGCGAATGGTCCAATTTTCTTCTTCAATTTGTGCATGCTGTAAAGGATATTCTACATAATAACAATATTATTGTGAGAGCTTTTGGAGCGGATGAATCCCGCTTGATTAAGGGAAATGATGTTGGCCATATGCTTCTTGAGCCGGTTGACTATAACCTTCGTAAAGACTTTATAAATAGTATTACACAATGCAATAGGACGGAACTGAGTTACCATACGAGGAATGTCGAGTTTCGGAATCAAACAAATGTATGTGTAATTGACGTCTTTCAGGGAAAGAGTTTTGCTCCACAATTGCTTAATATAAAGGCGTACATTTTCTCCAGTATGTTGCCATGCGTTTTGATAGAATCTAGTAGGAAATCCATTTGTCTCGGGTGATTTCCAAGTTGCCATATCAAATAAAGCCCGTTGTATCTCAGAATCTTGGACCTCAAACTTCAAAGAACTGATAACATCATTGCTAAGGGTAAGAAAATTTTGCACAATTTAGAACCAGGTAGAGAGCCTAATATCAGTAGTGAAAAGCTTTTTGAAGTGATCATGAAATAAGGCCCTAATGTTATCTTCGTCTTTTATCCAGTTATTGTTGGTATCTTTTATCATATTAATATCTTTTCTTCTTCTTCGTTGCACAACCCTAGTGTGGTAGAATTTGGTATTTCTATCTCAGTCGATCATCCAATTTGTCTTAGCCCGTTGGAACCAAATAAGCTCCTGATAAAGAGTTTTGGAAAGGGTAACTTGGATCTTCTTCTCAAGTTTTCGAAGAGCCTCATGATCTCTGCCCTATTAAGTAGAGGCTTGGATACCTTGCAGCCACTAAAGAAGGATAAGTTTCTCTCTACGCAGACTCCCAATAGAGTGAAGATTCCATTGAGTCTCTTGTTTACTAGAATCAAGATTCTGCAGAAATGTACCATGCTTCTTCTAAGTAGAAGATGACAATTCCTCAAACGAATTTTCTATCAGCCAGGCACATTCGAATTTAAATGTTTTAGTGACTTGCCTAAAATCCTTATTCGAAAGAGTGAGTAACACATGGTGATGATCAGAATAATCCAATCTATGAAGAATTTTCACATAAGCTTCAGGATAAAGATTTCACCAGCTATCATTACAAAGAATAAGATCAAGTTTCTCATAAATCCTCATAACCCCATGAGTCATCGTGCCTTTCCAAGTAAAAGAAAATCCAGAGCTACCCATGTCCATAAGACTACATTGGTTAATTCGAGATTGAAAGATGTTGCATCGCCTTAGAGTAGGCGGAAGACCACCTTGGCACTCAACTTCTTTAGTATGTGTGGTTAATTCGTGGCACCTCTAGCACTTCTTCCTCCTCAGCCATATCCATATCTTCCTCTTCCTGTACTTGGCACTCAACTTCTTTAGTTGGACTATCTTCATGAAGATCTATAGAGCTATGAGAAGGAAAAATGTCCGAAGTGTAATCTTCCTAGGCCCCATGTGCCCGAATTCCTTTAGGACCAAGTTGTGCCAATTAGGACTTATGTCCATCGAAAGCTCCATTATGGTGATTTTGCATCAGGACCTGTGGAATATCCACCTTAACCACTTTAAGAATTTCCTCCACTTTTTCTTCTTCCAGCAATCTTTCAAGGTTATCCTTGGTTTTTCCACGTCCCAGGGCCTTATCTTTACCCCTACCTATGCCTCTAGATACAATTTCCAAGTGTTCCACACGCTTTTGTCTTTTTGATATTCCTCGTCCTTTGACGTTTCTGAGTAACCGTAATCGAATATCTCTATCTTGACCAAACGGGAAGTGATATAAGAGAGATTTTTTAAAGTCAATAACAATATAAAACTCCATATCAAAGAACAAATGAGGAAGATTGCTTATTCAAAAACCGTTTACTTGAAACCACCCTGTCAATCAGGAAAATAAAAGTTGCTCCGAAGAAGGTCAAGCCTACACCGAGGAACAATTCAACGGCGTGGTCTCCTTCGTATCAAGTTTTTCTGAACTCACCAACTCCAAAATCTCAAAAAAAAAAAGTGCTTTTAAAGGAGCTCGCATTAGCAAACCACCACCATCACCGCCTCCACCAAAAATTTCATTCATTGATGAGTTGCCGATTTTTATGCACAAATACATTAAACGGATCACCAATGTTGAGGATGACGGAAATTGCGGGTTTCGAGCTGTTTCGGCTTTTTTGGGTAAAGGAGAAGATGATCACACACATGTTCGCCATCAACTTATCCATGAGTTGAGGACCCATAAAGAATCATACATATGGCTTTACGAAAAGAAAGAAAACTTTGATACAATTTATGAGTCTCTTGTTTCTTGCAGTTGTGGACCAGCACCGGAGGAAAAATGTATGTGCTTCATTGAAACAGGTTATCTCATAGCAAGTGCATAAGACAGAGTATGTATTGATATTACAAGATACAGTTTTTCTGAAACCTTTTTTTTCCACTGTGCACTGTCCCACCTCAAAATCCAAATGATCGTATTATATGCATTGGTTGACTTTCAAAATCACGACACTTTGTTCAAGTTTATTTGAAATTGTGATGTCATATACCACTTACATTAGTGAAGTGGATGACTCATTCAACAACAAAAGTCGAGACTTGCCCGGATCGATTTGTGGAAAGGATGCAAGAGTTCATCAAATTGAGCGACATTGAAACAAAAGTAAAAAGGGGGACCACACATACTTATAGATTTAGCCGCCGAAAAATCTTTTGATTCATTTTGATTTTTCATCATCAATTAATTATATATAATTATGTATTAATATTAATGAAGTGTAATATATCTAATTTTAAATATTTTAAAACATTTTGATGTTTGCCAAAAAAAATTGTCCATTTGCCAAACAAAACACACAGGTTATGTTTTCAATCTGGATTAGGAGAGGTTTCGAAGATGCAGCTTCAAAATAAGAGAATAGGGTGGTTAAATGAGATTCATCTCTAAAACCTCCACTGATACAAGACAGAGTTTTTGAGGTCCATATTTGTCTGCAATTACAATAAATACATGCTCTTGTATCATGTCTCATACAAACACAAAATGTTGCAAATGAACATCATCTAGTATGTCACAAATGTCTCTTTTTCCAGTGCAGAACCGAAACGAGAATTAAAGATCAATAAGTATACCCATTTTTCAGATGTGCAATACGAAGTGCAAAATTTCCTAACTTATGGAGATAATCGAAAAATTGTGAAGCTGTACCGTTCACCGTCAATTAACAACGAAGGCTAGATTGAGTTCAACAACTATGAGCTCAAGACGGATGCAGATGTAAAGACTATGTGGAATACATTTTTCCGTATCGAAACAAAAATTCTGATCGAGGTGGAAGTGATTGTTTTAAAATCGGTCGAAGATATTGTGAAGATGTTGAAGCGTCCATCTGGGTATTGAAATATAATGTTTAACTTTATGTTAACATCACCTATGTAATGTTGGTTTTATGTTATGAATAGTAATTTTATTTATGGAGATACATCTCCGGATCTAAAAAACTCACACTCCTAGGGTGTAACTCAGAACTGGCTTGGCCTAGAGTGTGTGTGTTTGGGGGTGTCCATATATGTATCTCAAGAATCTGGAGGTGTAGCACCTTAATTTTTGACCTTAAGATACCACCTCCTTGTGCATTTTCTTGCACTTCATTTAGGTCAACCATTCGCATAACTAACCATTTTAACCTGTTTTGTCTGTTTTGTTTTATGAAGACAGGTTCACTGCAGAGAGTGCAGATCATAAAGGCTGTGTATATATGCTCATATGGATCATATCCTGCAAAGTCGTGATTGAATTCCTGTGGATATACCATCAGTCCATTTGCCCTCAAGATTTCCCAAGGGAATGTTTTTGATTAGGGAATTCCTGTCCATTTGTTTTGATCGGGGTCATTGGAAGAATTGATTAAAGTGTGTGGTGTATGGCATTATAAATGGTATCCTCGTGGTCAAAAGACTTACTAAGCAAGGCTTTGTCCGTATTCATGAAGTTAATTCCTTTTAAGAAATTGGTTACTTGTTGGAATTCAATATGTTTTAAAGTAGTGAAATTCAGATAAACCTTTTGGATCAAGTTTTAGCAAGGAGATTTTAAGGTCGAAATTCATGAATGATACAAGTAGTGATTCAAAATCCAAATTTAAAATCAAATCATTACTTCAAGATTCAAGATAGTTCAAGTTTTAAAGACTTTACAAGATTGAATTTCATGTCTTAAAATTCAAGATTCACGAAGTATCACTATGTTTTGACCTCAATTCAAAATTCTCTGTAACCCGGATCTATCCAAAGATACCAAAATTTCATTACAAGTCGAATTAATGTCAAAAAAACTGATTTTGTTTGTACATGAAGTCTTATTAGCTTCCAAGATTACAAACCCTTCAATATTACAACAAGAGAGGATCATTTTGCAAGTCCTAATATGGTTGCATCCTATGCTAAGTCTTCAAAACTCCAACAAGCCTCCTAGATCTTCAAAGTCCTCACATTATCTTCAAAGCACCATAACCTGCTTCAAGATCCTTGTCCTCCTGTTAAATCCTACAAAACACTAAGACGACAGCAATAAACGAAGAATTAAGAAAAGAAAAGGGAAGAGTTTTTCATGGCCCTCAGTTTCAACATAGAAATCATCATTGGGATTCTCTTTTTGCAGACAGTCCGCAAGGGCAACGTTAACCGCCACCAGCTTACAACCCTGCAGAACAATGAACTACAGCAAACCAAGAGTCCAAGAAGCTTAGAACAAAGCCCTCAGATCATCATCG